TTCTCTTCATTAGAACCTGGCATTCTATTTTCACCTTAAAAGATCCATTTTACATTTAGTCTGAGATCTGAAAACTTTGTACAAATTGTCCACAGCAAAACATAAAAATAAATAAGCTTATATTTTATTAATTTAGTTCCTGTTGTGCCCAATAAAATCAAACCTTTTAGGAACAAACTTACAAGAAAAGCTAATAATCTTTGAGTGAACTTCATAGCTTCCTTGGAGAGTTTTTAGTTTGAAATTTGAAATTTGTCATTTTTAGGTTTTATGATTTGCTCCTTTGAGCATTTAGATTCTTGTGGACTTGTCTGGAAGAATGCCCTGAAGTGAATGTTCTTGCCCCAGACTCTGGGCAGCAGTTGGGAAGGGAAGGGAGCAGGCTCACTTCTCACTGAGTAGATGGTGTCAGATTTGTTCCCTTCAGCTCCATCCACACTGTTCTACTCCTAAATTGCCATGCAGAGAACCTTTGGATTCTTCCCATCTCTTGTTATCACCTTTGCTCTAAGCAAATGCTGTTAGGAGGCCGTGCCTTTGCTTAGACTGATTGGGAATACCATTCAGTGCAGAATAAAGATTTTAAAAAATGCAATAAGGTGGTAAGTGCATTGTATGAATTCTCTTTAAGTCCAAGAACTCTTGCATGTTGGTTAATTGTGGCCATTCTTATTATTTAATAAGTTAAATTATTGTGTAGAAAAACYTTTAAGTGTTATTTGACCACTTCAGGTATACATTCATTCAGTACTGGGTAAAAATTTCTGATCTCAGGAACACCAGACTTAGTTTCCTGACAAGCACTTTGTAACTATTGATATGGCAAGGAATTTGCAAAGAAGCAAATAACATAGACACGTTTTAACTTTCCTTTGATGAAAAGGCTGTGAAAACCTTTTAATATTTGCTTCCTGTTTAGATGGTATTGAAATGTGCACATCTTCAAATTTGATGCTGGAATACTAAAAACAGAAAAATACCCATGACCTGTCATGTCTTTGGTTCTTTCTCCTCTCCAAACACTGAGCAAAGTGTTCCCAGGATGATGGGATCATTTTTGCTGCATGCTAAAACCTGCGAGGAAGAGTTATGTTTGCAGTATGATTCCATATCAATGAATTTTGGTATATTACAATAATGGTGAATGTASTGTTCCAAGTGGTTACTGTCTTCTTACAAATTGACTGTGGTTTCCCTTTTCCTTTGTAATAGCCAAGTTTTTAGAAGCAGGGGCCATCATTCTGAGTGCTTAGAGTAGCACCTGTAGTTTACTGTTCTTCATGGATAAGGAGGATTCTTCAGGGGTCACAGATCCTGTTCTAGTTGTTAGGCACTCTGGTGCCTAAGAGAGGCATTAGGAAAGCATCTGGTCTCTGGGGTCTGCATTGCACTCATTGTTGAGCTGCTAGGTGTCCTTTCCCCAGAGTTCCCTCTTTATTTATTTATAATTAGTTTGATGGGTACAACATTCTTCCCTGTGGGAAAGCATTATATCTGGTTCCATTTTCTAGGTTTCAGACAGGAAAAGGGGCTTTAAGTGGTTTTCACAACAGACTGGCTGGCTGTTAAAGGCCAAATTTTTTGGTAAATCAATGCTATGTTAAGCTCTTGAACTATTCAACAGCCATAATTATCCTGAGATAGAGTGGCAAAGATTATATATGGCTGGGTAACAGACATAAATGTCTTTAGGTTGACTGTGAATAACAATGCCTGAATTGTGTGGACTTAACTTCATGGTTTTTTTTCCTAGGGTAAAATCAGTATGGTGTCTTCTATTGTTGTTCCTTCTTTGGATTCAATTATATAATAATTTCCAAAGAACTGTCTGAGCAACTGAAATCTAATTAAACAAAACCCAGGCACACCACGGATTCACCTGCCTTTTTCTATTTGACTCGTAGTGTCATCCCATCCCATTCTGAACATGTGAAGGTAAAATAACTTTTGTGCACAAATGGTTGGGGTCTTTTTGTGCATTTCAACATCTGTTTGGTAAGTGGTTATAAAGACAGTTATTTGACCTATTATTTTGGGAAGCTGTCTCCCATGGGAGTTTAAGGTAGTTTCACAGCAGAGTAGGGATGGGGTTGCCACCTACCTGAGTGATAAGAGAAGGCCAGGGAGGGTGATGCCTTACCACAGGATGTTTTGSGTTGTGACTTTGTGGTAGAGCRCTTACCTAGCATTTGTGAGGCCCTGCGTTTGAGCAGAGCACAGCAAAAACAGTTTTCTAACCAGAAGAGAAGGATAAGAAAAAGCTCAGAGGGAGTTTGACCTTGGAATTGTGGGCCTTCATATTACTAATATAAAAGGCTTAATGTTATTTAAAAAGAAAGGTCCCTTAAACAAACTATATGGTTCTCAGAGTAATACTTCTTTGTAAATCAGTTCTTATGTCATTGTCATGGGTCGATTAAGACCGAATTTCTTGAACAGCTTTTTTCTGGAATTGACTTCGTTCCAGTGCAGTGTTGCATCTTGAAGGGTTAGATGATTTAACAGTGATGGGCTTGTGTGAGGTCTTGCTCTATTGGGTAAATGCTGTAGCACATGAGGTAATTGTCAGCATTTGAATCTGGTAATGGAATAGGTAGGTAAGAACCTTGGAGTAACAAAGAGTTGGGAATTGGCGAACAATGCAGTTACCTCTAAACATCTCAAGTAGAGAACTTTTACATTGGTGAGATGTACTTGAATTTCAGAGCTTAGCAGAAATTTTAATTACTTTTTATTGAAAACTGCACTGAACGCTAAATGTCCACCTTTTACAATAAACAAGTACAGTAACGGTAACTCACACTAAAACAAAACATACTTCTGATAGCCATTTTTCCTTTTGGGACAGGTTAAAGTTTTTCTTTTGTCACAAAAACAGGAATGTACCTATACAAAGGCTCAAAATAGG